AATTTAGTAAATGAATGGAACATTTTAAAAAATATAGTAAATGAATGGAATTTTTTTAAAAATATAGTAAATGAATGGAATTTTTTTAAAAATATAGCAAATGAAAGGAAATTTTTTAAAAATATAGTAAATGAATGGAAAATTAATTTTTATATAGTAAATGAATAGAAAATTTATATTGGTTGTTAACTTCTGGTAAACATTTGTTGCTTTCTTTTACTTAAAATAATTATTGTAGCACAAAAAATATTATCATTATGCATAAATGATAAATGAAGAAACCTCTATTGTATGCAACAAAGGATAATTTTCGCACTAATGTTGTTAAAATAAAGATTTGTTTTAAGCAATTTATTGATTTCTTTTGCATAAATTCATATCAACCTGTTGAATATTACTTCTAGAAAATCAGCAGCCCCATTTTAAGTGTGAATGTAAAATAATAGAAAAAAAGCACGAATGTATAATTTAAAAACCAAAGGTGGTATTCAAGTCATTTGAAAAAATGCCTTAGGCGATAGTGTAGATGTTTGAAATAAGCTAAAATATACATTCCAAGAGGCATATGCTTTCTTAAAGATATTTATATTCTTACAGAAAACTTAACTAAGAATAAGGTATGACTGTTCAAAGCGGCCAGTACTGGACTTTATCAAGTTGCTGAATAAATTACCAATTCGTTATACCTCATTTATTTCTGCGTACATTATAAAATACCACTTGTTGTCTGCATAAAAGGTTTAAATATTCACAACACGAAAGCACCTTTTAAAACCAAAAGTAAAGAGATAAATTTAAATTTTGCTCATTGCTCTTTCTGTTAAAGTATAAATTTTACAGTCATGTGAGAAAATTATCAGATTTTTCCTTTAATCGGATTCCTTGTATTGAAATAATCTTTAAACCTATTTGGATGCAATTAAATATGAATTCCATATTTATCAGAGGATTCCTTAATAAAAAATTACAGAACGTTTCTCATAAAAACTTTAAAGAAATGTTTAATTTGCTTATGTCCTAATCTTTCATCTTATGCGAGATTAAAATACCGATACGAACATTTATTTATAGATTTAATTATAGCATATGCTAATATCAGTTACTTGCACATGATAAGACTCATTATCCAAAATTTAGAAAAATATAGTAAATGAATGGAAAATTAAAAAAAAAATATAGTAAAAAAATGAATTAAAAATTTTTTATAAAGACTAATTATTTTATAAAATTAATTATGAATATTCATTGACATAGATGTTCGTTGTTCAGTGAATACATTAAAAAAATTAAACATAATTTTATTCGGGAAATTTAATTATTAAATAATAATTCATATATTAAGTAATAAGTCAAGCTAGTCAATAAGTCATATATTTATCAAGATGTCAAAATCATATATTTTGCTACAAGATGTCAAAATTAGTTGCCAAAAGTAACTGTTAAAATGCGTGAAATAAACAAGAATGCTATACAGAAGTAATTCAGTACAGAATAATACTATTTTAATATCTAAAGTGGCCAATATCATTATACTGGATTCTTCTAAAATTTAACAAAAGATTTAACCTTAATTCATGATTTAAACTGAAAAATTTTTAAACTCTTCGAACATTTCTTAAGTATAAGACTCAAATTATATCGTAACTTATAAATTTTGATGACATAATTCCTTTTACCAGAATTATGTAAAATCGATTACATCATGTTACTATCCATGCGTGACTAAAGAACAATAAAATCTTAAAACCGACAAAAAAAATCAGTTTTTTAAAAAAAGCAGAGAAAATCTTTTTTGTAAAGAATCATAATTCCCCGTATCGCCTTCTTTACAGCCGAGAAAGGCTAAAAATCCAACACGCCTAAGCACAAAAGCACGAATCACAGCACCCGACCCAACGTGAATACCACCAGTTTTCTGCATTTTAATGAAATCTTATTTTCCTAACCATTTGGCTGCACGTCCGGGTCGCTGTGCAAAGGTCTAAGCAGCCTAGCTAGGTCCTCAAACAGCGTCGACCTTAAAACAACGTCAGTGGAGGGGAGAAGTCCGTTCACATAATCTACTCTGACAAAAGAAAAGCTCTCAAAAAAAGAAAGAAAAAAGAAAAAGCATCATAAAAAGAACCGTAAGACCTCTTAAGTTCAAAACGTCATCTTCTACAGCTCTCACAGCGGTCAATCTTGCCCGCCTCCGCTAGTGCTGCTATGGTCAGAAAACGGGTCTGCAAAATTCTTGGCGAGCTTCACACAGCAAGCTCAAACGGGGTAAAGAAACAGCCAAGAGTTCTTTAACCTAACGCATAAGCAGATGGTTGATTTGCTTTTGTTTCGTCAGTGTATGGTCAGAAGAAATTCTTGCAACCACAAACTGCCACCTGCAGATCTCAAAGAGTTATAATATGCTACCATGACATTTTCGTTTTGAACATTTTTCCGACTTGTCATTAAAATGGGAAGTTGTATTTAAAGTGGGATTTTTCTTCGGGAAGATTTACATTTGAAAGTTATGGTATTTATTTTTAAAGGCGGTATATCTGTAATTATATTGAAAAATTGTTCAATGGAATTTCAAGATGGTATTAGCCTGTAGATTCAAGCTTAGGTAATTCAATCGCAATTTAATTGCAAAAATTAGATGTGGGAAAAATGATTCAAGCAAAACTCGGAATTACATTCTGAAGGAAAGGGATTTTTTTTTTTTTTTGTATAAATTGAACAAGTTAGTTCAAATCTTCGGAAATTTGAATTTTTCCCACATATTTCTAATTTATATCAGTGACTTATTAATTTCACAGAGTAAAGGTGATAAATTAATTACGGTGAACTTTAAAAAAAAGAAGATAACTCTAGTTAGTTTAAGTCTTTACGTATATGAGTAAACAAACTTTAAAGTAATACTTATTCAACTTGAATTTAAAGTTGAATAAAACTTAAAATACTGATCAATATTACAAGAACCGTGTTTAAATGTACAAAGATTATATAAAAAAAAGCACTCCTATAACCACTATTTTTAATTATTTTTTTTTTTCAAATTTTATAATCTACATAAACATCATTCGTGATTAAATGGTAGCAAGTAGTTCTAGTGTTCTGGCTTGATTCTCTTTGACACTGCTTTGCAAAACAAATAGATTTATTGATAACTATGGAAGGATGGCTGATATCGACAGTCAAACTGTCTGATTGGTGTTTTCGGTTTGTCTCTAATATAACATACAAGCTACAGGAACTTACTCCTGAAAAATCGTACCATATTTAATATGAAAGAATCCAGGTTATGTCCATGTATGCATTTAAAAATGTTGGCCCATTTTACAACCAGTAACGATTGATATTATATATATTGATATATATTTATCATTTTATATACATTATAATATTAATAAGTTGATATACATCCTACTGGCAAAATAACTAATGATTGGCAAAATATGTTTTTAGATAACACCAATGAAATCAGTTGTAAAATATTGCTGGATACTTAAACCGTTTAACACATTCGTTGGTTTGTCTTGTCACTCTACGGTAATTTTTTGCACACTTCAGACTAATTAGACCAGGATCTACAACTTAACAGTGGATTCCGAACCACTAACAAACATTCACGTCACCGCCAGGATTCGAACCAGGAGTTAATCAATTGACCACCAGGACACTCACATACACTGGTGATAAAAATATTCAACACGAAGAAGAAACGATTTTACTATCAGTAAAAATAAACACTCTTTGAAATTTATATTTTAGCATATATTTCCAGACTTTCAATCTAACCGCGGTCTGAGGGCCTAGCGCTCTGGCCTTTGGTACCACAGGCCTCAGGCTCGAATCCTGGTATGAATGTTTGCTAATGGTTCGGGATCCGTTTTAAATGTCCCATGTAGTTTAGTCCATGTAGTAGTAATGAGTCAAATGTAGTTTAGCCCATGTAGTAGTAATGAGTCCCATGTAGTAGTAGTGAGTTCAAAATGACTGTACAACGTAAAAACCAAACTAGACTGAAAATCGTAACGGAAGACAACTCCCAATTACTGGGACAGAACGTTGACAGGCTAAAATTACAAAACTCCTAATTTTAGCTTTCTCATGGCTAACACGCAAAAAGAGCTCTTGTTCCTTTAAACTTTTCTTTCTAAAGAAAAAAAAGTAAAAGTAAATTTAAAAATTGAGAAAATTACTGTAAAAATTTCTAAAGAGGCCACTGGCATTATGAAATGACGTGAATCAAAAAGCTATGTTTAAGTGAGAGTTAGCATTAATGCAATTTAAAATTTAATTATGATTGCAAGAAAGTGGTAGCCGTGTTTTTCAAGAAATATTTGCCTCAAAGTGAGTTCACAAAGTTATGGTGCGAAAACTGTAAGCGGAATTCTCAGCTAAAAGAATTTGACATCGTTGAAAATAAGGATGACATGCAATTATTCTTCTTTGTTTAAAAAGACATAACTAGTTATGCAAGGAAAATGAAAAAACTTTAAATTAACTCTTACCCTCTCGAACAACAATTTAAAATCTATTTCAGTATTTCTTTTTCTTCGGCTACAAGAAAGTAATTTAAAAGATGGCAGAAGAGGAAAGGAAGCTTTCGGCGAGGAAAATAAATATTTAATCTACTTTTTTGACAATTTGTTTTTGTTTTGTTATAAACGTATAATTTATTATTAAATCGATTTCAATCATTCTATAACACAATAATTTGTTCAATGCCTTTTCAAAAGTAATTTAAATTTACATCTTGCATACTCTATATACTGCCATTCCATTCATTAACCCTAGAATGAAGGAGAGATTTCCTGGTATATTTACATCAGGGACCTCGTGTTCTCTTTACAGACCCTGACCGATGGACAGATGATGATATTGCTTTTTAGGAGGGTTAACGGTTGAAAACTCCCACCAGAAAATCCGACTGCCGATGCATGAGATTCTTACATACATTCTCAATAAGCGTATAGTTTATTATTAAATCAATTTCAATCACAACAATTTGTTCAGCCAACGGCCGTACCATGCTGAATATACCGGTTCTCGTTAGATCACCGAAGTCAAGCATCATTGGGCGCGATCAGTATTTGGGTGGGTGACCACCTGGGAACACCGCGTGCCGTTGGCAAATTTGGGACCTGAATGGCTTAGCGCTCTGGCGCTCGGTGCCACAGGTTTCGGGTTCGAATCCCGGCGGTGCCATGGATGTTTATAGTGGTTTATTAAATTAGGTCCCGGTCTCCAATGACTGTAAAGCGTCACGGAGCAAAAAGTCAATTACCTACGGGTGCTCCATCACAACAGAATGCTTCCCCTTCAATCATGAGGTACGTATGGACTCGTAAATCTGGGATAAGAAACAACAACAAACAACAACAACACAATTTGTTCAATGCTTTTCAAAGGTAACTTAAATCTAGATCTTGTATACTCTAGATGCATCCATTTCCATTCATTAACCCAAGAATGAAGGAAGTTTTCCCCTAGTATTTTTACATCAGGAACCTAGTGTTCCTTTTATAGACCCTGACCGATGGACATATGATGTTATTGCTTTTTAGGAGAGTTAACGTCCCCGCATTTACATAACGCAAGTAAAAAAAACCTCAAAAAACTCCCACCAGAAAATCTGACTATCGATACATGAGATTCTTACACATATTGTCAGACACACTTGATTACATCATTTTAATCAAGTGTGTCTTCCCCGCATTTACTGCATCTCACACCACCAGTAGATTCGAGTCATCGTACTCTTCCCCACTAGGCTGCTCAAGTTACCATTGGGATATGAATCGGGAGAAGAACGAAATTTGACCGTAATTTTCTCATAATTTAGATCCGAGACTTCATCTAAATGAACAAAAATACACCAACACAAGATATATTTTTGTATATCCATCTCAGATATTTTCAATAATTTGAGGCAATGTGCTCCTTTAAATATTTTATGAACAGTCTACCTACGCGACAGGTAAAAGTGATTAATTGATTTTCAAGAGGCCTTTCAACTAACTGTAACTGTCTCGTATTTGCATGTCAAGTGAAGAAAACATGAAAAAAAAAATCTTTCGGAAAAGTCTTATTACCCATGCAATAAGCTCAGACACGTTGTGACAATTGTCCTTGATACTCATTTCTGAACGTATAGAGTGCACGTACTAGTGCGGTGATTCTCAAAGGGTGCGCACTAGAAAATTTCCGGCTGAGCCTTGTGTTATATATGTGCCCAGATGTAAAAATAAATATAATAATTTTTTTTCTTGTCAGTTTTAACTTTCAATGATAGTTTTCATTGCAAATAATTAACTTTTCTGAGTTTTTTTTTCCTAGGACCGCATGTATGTAGGACCACATGTTAAGTGAAGATGGATTTTCACTAGTCTCAGAATGTCAGCCAATCAGAAGTCTGAGAAGGCAGGATACCGAGTTTCTGATTGGCTAATATTCTGCTACGTGTGATGTTAGTATCTTGTTGGAATTCTACTTTAACGTCCATATTACTGCTATACATAATGGTCTTAGAAGATTTGAAAACGGGAATGCTTGATCCACAAACCAAACCAATTTTTCTGCTATTTCTTCAACAAAAATGAATTGTATATCAAACAAACAATACATTATAAATTTCCCAAGAATAAAAACTTTCAACAATTTGATGCAGTTTCTTAAGAAAAGAAGGGTAAATAGTTAAGGCGATTGCGGAAATATGGTATATCTAAGCGGAAAAAGACATGTGTTTGTTTGTCTTACATATCAGCAAGATCATATTCATATGTAAACAACAGCGAAGGGGTGCCAACGGCCGTACCATGCTGAATATACCGGTTCTCGTTAGATCACCGAAGTTAAGCATCATTGGGCGCGGTCAGTACTTGGGTGGGTGACCACCTGGGAAAACTGCGTGCCGTTGGCAAATTTGGGACCTGAATGGCCGAGTGTCTAGCGCTCTGGCGCTCGGTGCCACAGGTTTCGGGTTCGAATCCCGGCGGTGCCATGGATGTTTGTAGTGGTTCGGAATCCACTTTAAGCCGTAGGTCCCGGTCTTCTATGACTGTAAGAGCGTCACGGAGCAAAAGTCAGGCTTCTACCTACGGGTGCTCCATCACAACAGAAGCTGCTTCCTTCCCCTTCAATCATGAGTCCATATGGGTTTGTGGGCTTGGCCAGCCAAGTGGGATAAGAAACAACAACAACAACAACAACACAACAGCAAATCTTTACCCTCTCTCTCATGTAGCATTTCCTGTCTTCTATCTCTGAATGCTCCACTTTTATTTCTTTTTATTCCTGACATCTTTCTTTAATGGTAAACATTAAAAAAAATTTTTTTAAATCTTTCGGCTCGTAATTTGTGTAATACGTCCGTAAATTACCTCTCTATCTAACATTCATTTAAAATAATTGTGTTTGCTTTGCAGAAGAAATTTCCTTCAATTAATCTCAAGCGAAACATCAAAAAGGAATTTATTTATTTACCTTTCACTGACTTTATTCCACCGACTTGAGGCTGTTGATTCTCAGAGTGATTTTTTTTCCCCCAAGATTCTTGAATATTGTAATTTGATTTTGATTAAATCTTACGAGTGGCATTTCCTTTATTTAAGCTCTGAATGCGAGCTGCAATTTATTTTGCTTTTCGTGGGATTAGTTTAAATGAAAATGCTCTGTAGAGCAAAAAAATTAAAACCGTTGATAAAAATAACTGTGCAATTTCATAAAATTAAAGACATGCAACGAAAAGTACAAAAATCATAATACGTATAAAAATTTAATTTTCTTTTATGAAATAATAGTACATGAAATTTGTTACATTTGAGAAATAACTTTCTTGCATACATAAAATGATAGCTGCAATCATTGGGGAATGAAAATTAGGGATTTTGGTATGGGGAATTTTAAGTTAAATAGGGATTTTATAACATAAGCGCATCCAAACTAATAAAAAATAACACAAAATTTTCATTTGTGATGAATTATTTTATCGATTCATAGATAGGGATTTTTTTCGAAATTCTCCCTATTTCTTGTACAAAAATCTCTTTGTTAAGGGAATTTTCTAATAAAATTTGGGAGATTAATATACAATTAGGGAATTCGATAGAAGGAATCGAAATTCGGGAGTTTCCCAATTAAACCGGAAGAGTTGGCATGTATATAATATGCATAAAGGAATTTCCTTCAGAACTGGAGCTAAACATTATATAATGAAGTTTTATCAGATATTTTCAATATAGTCTAACTTAATATTCACTACATACAAACATCAGCTAGACGCTTGGAGACATTTTTTTTTTGTCTGTATGCAATTAAAACAAATTTTAAAATCACTAAATTATTTTTAATCACAATTTCTTAGTTGAAAGAGTGATTATAAGAGAAATTGCAAAAATATTTATAATTTCTAATTTCATTCTTAATAAAGCTATTTCCTTGTTAAGGTTTGGAAAATATAGTTTGAGGAAAGGAGACTGCTTAGAATAGAAAGTTGATCATATAAAAGCAATTCAGATGCTTCATTCAACTCATTCAGATTCAATTCAAAATAGTTTTTCTCCAACCTATGCTTATTCTAACACCTTAAGAATCAGAGCAATGTATATCGGAATAGAAAAATAGAATAGAATACGAACTTGGTAACTTAAAGTCTAAATCAAATTTTTAAATATCTTTTTTTAATGTGCCAAACTTACCTAAACCTACCCAAAATAAAATCCTGTTTTGATTTTGGATAGGTTTAAACATTTCAGATACAAAAACCCAAATTTGGTTGATAATTACTTCCAAAATATTTGATAGTTTTAATGTCCACATTTTAATGCTTATATTAAGAATTGTTTTTTTTATCAAAGAAGCGATAATTACAATTAGCAAGTATATTGAATAAATCAAAGATTATCTGAATTTCTCTTTGAAGGTCGTAAGAAAAATGCACGATACGGAAATAGATAAACATCAATAAATTAACATTTATATTAAAATTTACAAAAATTAGCTATAAATCAAACTTTTAAATATTTATTTAATAAATATCACAATAAATTTACGATGCAGTTCAAGAAGGGCCAATGGCGAAAACAAACAGTTGTAAGAGGATGTATAAGAGAAATTGCAAAAACATTTATAATTTCTATTTTCATTTTTAATAAAGCTATATTGGAAATTCCACATGTTTCATTAATTATGCTTTCCATGGTATACGAAAATGATGTAAAGCTATATAAATGATGCTTTGCTATGAAATGAAACAAACAAAAATTAACATCGAAATTTCATGGAGATGTAACTGATTCTACGAATAATAAATTCGTATATCCAATTATAATTGGATTTTTTTAATAAGGCATACACTTTAAAATGAATTATAAACTTCAACATATAGATTTAAATCAGAAAATATGACTTTATCTCAGCTTAATTAGTCAAAAATAAAAAAAAAAAAACTTTCAAAACCTAATAATAATGGAATATCATTATTTTACGGATAAAAGTATGAAAGAAGTTTTATCCGGATAAAACTTGTTTTAAAATATGTATAATAACTTCTTAGGTTATATGAAGAATGTAATAAGAAGTACGTTCTCCGAAATTTATCTAATATTTGATAAAAACATTTCAAAAATTAATTTGTTTTATAATTAATTAATAACTTCATGAACATTAGCACATATATATGTACGTTAATTTTTTAAGTTAAAATAATTTGAAGTAAAAAAACAGTTTTTTTCCAAGCGAATTCTTTTCCACCATTGAGAGAAATAAGTGTCTACTATCTACAATTTTGAGGCTAATATTTTTCAGAGATGAATTTTCTATTTTTATGACAGGCAATCAATAACAAAAAAATAATTGGTGAATGTTGTTACTCCTTAGCAGTACAGCCCATTGTGAGCCAAAGATGTCTGCCTACTGGCAGATTTCGAGACAGGAGATGTTTTCCTTTTTACAGGGTAGGGTTATCATCCCTACGCCCAACAGTCATATTAGATCGGGACCTACGGTTAAGGTGGATTCCGAACCATTACAAGCATCCATGCCCCTGCTGGAACTCGAACCCGAAGCCTTTGAACCAGAACCTGGGTGCTAGTCTCTCGGCCATCAGGTTCTACTAGGACAAGGAAAAT